CGTATAGTACTAGGCTACACTTCGAAGGTTCCGACCTTTTTCACGTCACTTGTTGGTCTGGCCAATTGTATTACAATAATAGCATCCAAAACTGAGCACAAGTCTGATTGGCTTTAACCTGAACTTCTGAGTCAAAATTAGGGACATGCGATGCCAGATTCACAGGCTCACCACAAAGTTTGCGCCAGCTGCTATTTCTATTATGTCTCTTTTTTAATTCAACAGACGAAGAACGAAATAGTTTCGCAGATAAATCACAAAAAGACCTGGCGGATGATTTGGTTGCGCTGCTGAGTGGGAGTTTGCCAGTTCCTTACCAACTTTGTAGCGGCAGATCGGGTGTTTGTTGTTCACTAGGACTGTTCTGTTTTGACTCCCTGTGCAAATTACACACTGCCAACAGATACTGTTGGCCTCGTTCGGAGCTCTGCACTATAGCATACAATCAAATCTATGTGCTTCGGGCCATATAGACCCGAGGTTCGAGCAAGAATTCATCTTATCATTGGCTGTGATAATGCCTCGCAAACATCAGGGGAATCTGTTGACCACCGGCACCAAGTTCTCGTCTGTCCGAGTTCTCGGATCCACACAGAAATTTGTCATCAAAATTGACAACAATAACCTTCCATCCGACCTTTATAGGGTATTAAGCCAAATCGTCGATTTCTGTTGCAGATCTGTATGTTTCACTTTGGGTGGCTGGAAATAGCCTGATCAGCTGCTTGCACTTAACTGCTCATCCGTCCAACATTTCGCATCTTAGCTCCTTCCCAAACACCAGCCATTATGCCAGTGCTCTTGAACTTGATCAGCAAGTCCGGCTTGATAGTGTGAAAAATTTAGGCTAATTGCTCTTCCCATCGTTTGCTTTCATATATGCATAATCCAGGTTTACAATCAGTCTGACCCATATACTTAAAAATAAATTAAGGCATAGTGTATAACGCACCACACAGTGGTTACTTTTTGGTTCTTTGGACACATTCCTGTTTATTCAATAATTAACCTTTCTGGGGAAGAACTGTCTTTAGAAAGCAAGACACCTTCAGTAGGAGAGTGAGTTAATGCAGCATAATCACTAGGACAACATTTGACTGCTCTCAACAACACTGATCCGACTTCTGGTTGGAAATTCATTTCTTATAGTTCATTAGACATACTTTATCCCGAAGGTTCTGAACTCATTGGCTGATAACCTCTTCTCAGAACTGCTCGCTATTAGTACCTAAAATACGTCTTCCACAAAACCGTGGTGGAACCTTACCGTCTATATTTTACAAGCGAACTGCACGATTGCATGAGTTAAATTATGAGCCAATCGTAATGGTGACTTACTATGCAACAAAAGCAGTAATTGGCCTTATCATCGGCTCAGTGTCGCTGGTGGACTTCCCTGTATCAAATTGTAATTGTTTCCAAACCATCTGCTCTCTATCCCAGGGACGTCTGAGTACACAACAAAAATAATTTCGGATCCTCTCTGGTTTATCTCTTATGACCGTGAGCCAAAGCTCCGTGGTGGGTGGTTCGTAGGCAGTAAAAGCAAACCATCCGAGCTGTCTTTCTGGCTGCCGTCCCACTTGTTTGGTATTGCATACTCCAAGTCACTGATTTCGATGCAACTGACGGTTTTAGCAGTTAGCTGAATCGAAGTGCTTTACCGGGCTTGTGAACGCCCCATTTTCGGATTGATTTCATCCGTAGCCTGTAGAAATTCACCGACTCCGATTACAGGTGCGTACTGTTTGCAATTACACCGTATTCATTTAACTTATTTCTCTTTTTCAAGGGTGCCCTCCGGAAGACGAACTCTCGGACGCAGAAATTATTCAGGATATTAACGAGATGGCTCAGTCCGTTTCCAACTGTACGTCCTGTACCTTATAAGGAACCAATGTCGTTAGTCTTTGTTATGATCCTTATTGCTCGCCTTTGTTGCGTCGCTGTATTAACTGCCTTAAACTTCTTCAATGCGGTTTTTCAAAGGCATTCGTCTAACTTTCCCCCTATAAACTGATACTGATCTCAACAAGCAAGTGGTTCAATTCTACCAACCAGGACGATAAAACTTCGTGGAAATCAGTTTATAAACCAAGCTTAATAATTGCAGCTTAAAGTTTTTATTCTTGCGACTATAACCTTGGATCTACTTCACTAATTCCAGCGTCTTTGTTTTGGTGCCATGGTTGTTGTCGGCATTTTTTAATCAAGTAATTTGAAAAACAGTATCGCACCTTTGTTTTCAATGGCTTGCGTGCATTTTTTTCGCAGGTACTTCTATTTTGTCTGGTTATTCACATGATGTTTATTAATTTTAGCCAAGAACTTCATTCTCCTAACGACAGGCGCGGTAGTCACCCTTCTCCTTGGCATCCTCCTGGCGATCTACTTTGACTTCTCACCGTTCTGAACTCCAAAGATGTAGCACTGTCGCTCCTCCACTTGACACTAACACGTCCTGAGCGTGTGCTTGCTTTCTTCATTGTCTCCTTGTTTTCATAATCGTTCCTCTTCTTTCTCTGTGATTTTTTACCGTGCGGCCACCTACTATCTACCATTACATAAGGTCACGACCGACGGCATTTTTCCCCCATCATTCTCGTGCGAGCCTATATGTAGATTATTTTTGTTGAGGTGCTGCTTTCTTTGCCTTGCGTGTGTGCGCTGTTCCACAATGCTTTGAGTCGTCTTCACTAAAACTCCTCGCACGTGAATTGACGTCACAAACATTCAAAACTTGCAATGAATACGCCCAAAAGCTCATGTGCACAGATTACACTTCTTTGTTCGTGGGAGTTTTTGTTTCGTATAAACCGAAAGGCAGGCATCCCAAGAAATTTAATTTCATGGA